CAGGGTTGCCAGGTTTTCACAAGAAAACCCGCCCAATCGCGTTTCGAAGGGGTCCCCAGTTAAAAATCGCATTCCTGGGGGTAAAATTCACGTTTTTTTGGCGGGGTTCCCCTGCTGAAATTCGCATTCCATGGGATAAATATCATGTTATTGGAGTCGCTTCAACCCGCGGCAACAGTGTTAAAGTAGCCCAATTCCGCGGGAAAACCGCGGACTTGGCAACACTGGGTCATATGACGTTGCTAAAAAGAACATTATTTTGTGTATTTGGTGTAATGCAATGTGTTTACATGGTTTAAGGTTCAAAAAACACAAAACAATTACTTTCAACATACCATACAATATTGTTGCTCCTCTCTGCACCGCCTTTCTGAAACGCGTCGATTTTTACAAAGCTCATCGTTCTGAAAAACGCAGTGTGCTCTGATTGGCCAGCTATCCAGTACGTTGTGATTGGCCGAATACCTCAAGCGTGTGACGGAAATGTTACACCCCTTACCTTATTTGGAAACACACAGCACCTCCACGACGTGGTGGTGGCGGCAACAACAATACTACAGCGAGAATAATAGTTACGCCTTCTTTCTTTGTGTAAACATTTGGACAGTGTTATACAAATCCTCCAGCACAGTGACGTAGACTTGTGGGGGCGCGTTTGAATTAAGGGTTTTAGGAAGGCGTGGCTGAGTCTTAACTTTTAGAAAGAATATCTCTTTGGGTTTGAGACTTTAATATTTGTGACTATACGTATCTTATTTATGCACGAACAGCTTGTAACACTCCAAAGAGAAAGGAAACATGAAATTGTGTCATTTGACCCCTTTAACAAGTTTCTTATATATATACTGCTGAAAACAAGAGTGCTGGAATCTACAAAACCAGTTTTTCTGAGAGCGAGGACTGTCAAGTCAACTGTCAAGTCAAAAGCACATGTACGCACCCACACATGTACATTTGCAGTACCTTCTGGTAGCTGGAGCTGGGAGAAACAGCGAACATGCTGTCCTCTCCAAACACTTCTGCCCAGTTCCTCTGACAGGCCTTCATACGATTCTTAAAGTGATACTCGTTTTATTTATGCACGAACAGCTTGTAACACTCCAAAGAGAAAGGAAACATGAAATTGTGTCATTTGACCCCTTTAACAAGTTTCTTATATATATACACTATATTCATATACACTAACAGGCATTGTTGTTGGCATCAAACATTTCTTAATCAAACTTCCTGACTCATTCATTCACTATCCTCTCATTAAAGGAACACTCCACTATTTTTGAAAATAGGCTCATTTTCCAACTCCCCTAGAGTTAACAGCGAACATGCTGTCCTCTCCAAACACTTCTGCCCAGTTCCTCTGACAGGCCTTCATACGATTCTTAAAGTGATACTCGTTATCAGGGTTAAAAGCCTGTCAATAAAACAGTACAGGGAAACAAGTTTAGCCCAAGACGGCCTGACATAGGTCCATATTCACAATATATTTGCAATGAATTTGTTGGTGATAAAAAATTGCGCAACTCTCGAAAGATTGACAGTTCCAGCCACGCTGTTCCAAACCTGTATAGTTTCTTCCTTCTGTTGAACACAAAAGAAGATATTTCAAAGAATGTTGGTAACCAAACAGTTCTTGGTCCCCGTTGACTTTTATAGTATTTTTTTCCCTCCATACTATGGAAGTCAATGGCTACCGGCAACTGTTTGTTCCCCAACACTTTTCAAAATATCTTCTTTTGTGTTAACAGTTTTCAGAATAATGAAACTCATACAGGTTTGGAACAACTTAAGGGTGAATAAATGATGACAGATTTTGTAGGTGAACTATCCTTTTAATGTGTTTTTTAAATTTTATCATTAATATATAAGTATATATATATATACATAGAGGTAAATATCGTATAGTATACATAAAACATTTATGTATTATGTATGTATTGCATTAAAAATAAATATGTCATGTATGCATATATTATTTTATGAAAAAAAATTATTACTTGCTTCATATAAATTGAATGAAATATTTTATTGAAAAATTTCATTAAATATAGTTATTTGGTGAAACTTTAGTGACATTTATTTTTACTAAAATAATTTATCTAGAACTATTTTAGATACTTTTTTTTTTTTTACAACATCTATACTTTTTTAAACTTCCTGTTTACTTGGTGTATTTTACTTCTCACATTAAAGTTTATGGCTTTACTTGGCCACAATAACTGTTTGGTTAAAATGTTAATTTGCTAAAAATAGGGATGTAACGATTCACTCAACTCACGATTCGATTCGATTCACGATTTTGATTTCATGATTCGATTCACGTTTTTTTTTTAACAAAATGAGATTTAAGACAAATTATACATTAAATGTGTCCTTTTATTATTGCTTGGACAAAATACTGTACGTTTCTTTGTGAAATTGAAATATAACACTATAATAATATACTAATATAGCACTTGTAAATTATTGCTCTTTTGTTGGTTTTGATTGTTTCTATTGTCCTCATTTATTAGTCGCTTTGGATAAAAGTGTTTGCTAAATAACAAAATTTAAATATAATGTAAATGTAAATAACAAAACTAAATTGAAATTTTAAAACAATCCCCAAATCAAATAAATAAGTAACTATTTAATAAATATAATAAAATAAATATCTTCATATAAACAAACTTAGGCTTTGTCTGTGCTCTTTCCATTTAAAATTAGAGGCAACCACTGCATTTTAATCTTGATCCAAACAAAGATGCTGCATACTTGCAACATGAGCAGTTTTTAATCTAAATTACATTGTATAATTTCGAAATTTGAAGCAAAAACAGAATGGTTTGACTTCAGTTTTGTGAAACTATGCATAAAAATATCTGCATGAAACAGAAACAGCAGATAAGCTGAATGAGACGTAGATTCACTCTCTGCCAGCAGGTGGCGCTTAAAGCGTTTCCTTGGTTTCCGCTGTAAACAAAGCAGCGCTGCACTTATGAACTTTAATATGCATTATAGAGGCAAGAGGAAAAGAAAAAATACCATCGAAAGACAGTAAGTTCCCCTCAGACATACATTCATATAAACGCCTACACCTAATTGAATCGCGATTTGTTTAGCATCTCAACCGATTTGAATCGTCACATATTTAAATCGATTTTCAACCGGCTCACGGTTAATCGTTACATCCCTAGCTAAAAAATGTTAATTTCTGGTAAATGTAAATGTTAATATCATAAAGATAGAAGGGCAAACACGTAAGGAATATTGCCAAAAATATATATATATTTTTTTTTGTTGTTGTATCACCCAGTCTTAGTCTGGTGTTTTGTAGTAGCCAACCACAATTACTAGTATAATAGCAAAAGGGCATGTGTACCATAGTGAGAATTCCCATGAGGCCAATGGGTATCGGATCCTGTTTGACTCTCTCTGCGACCAGATCCACCAGCAGCATCAGCATGTTGTAGATGCCCTCATGAATCTCTGTTCCCCACTTGTGCACCGCACTGGATGTCAGCAACTACAACACCATTTAACACCCAAGTTATTAATCTTACCACATCTCACCGTTTCTAACAATTTATTACAAACACCTGATAGCGTGTAGAGCTTATGCGTTTACATGCCTGCTTATCCAAACACACACACACACACACACACACACACAAACCTTTTTGAAGGCTTCAGGCATGCAGCGGTCAGTGAACCTCTTACAGTTCTCATCTGCATCAGCCAGGCCTACAGAGAAGAAAATAAATGTCAGATGTGACGTTTCCTTCTAGAGTGCACACATTAAATCATGTACATAAAAAAACAGAATCAGAACTCACCCAGTCTGGCCAGGCAGGTGGAGGCGATGAGGCACTTGCCGAGTGACTCCTCTCTCTTGTACGGGATGGACCAGTGATCAGTGAACACTCTGCTCTCCAGCTCATACAGATTAGTGGTGGGAAACTCCATACTGTTCCCAGAACAGTTCCCGTTCTCATCATTAGTCCTCTATAAGAGACAGAAAAAGACAGATGTATCACAACATGAAGATCTGCAAATACTGTTTTTCTGGGTTTCCAGGGTCTCTAAGTTCAGCAAGGCTGCATTATTTATGATAAAAAATATAGTCAAAATATAAGTAATATTCTGAAATATTATTAATTTAAAATAACTGTATACTGTTTGAATATATTTAAAAATCTAATTTATTCCTGTGATGCAAAGCTGAATTTTCTGCATCATTACTCCAGTCTACAGTGTCACATGACTCTTCAGAAATCATTCTAATATGCTGATTTGATGTTTAAGAATCATTTCTAAGTATTATCAATGTTGAACACAGTTTTTCAGGATTCATTGATGAATAGAAAGTTCAAAAGAACAGTATTTATTTGAAATAGAAATTCAAAAAGTATGTGTTTACTGTCATACATATATTATATATTTTTCATTATGTGTGACATTTGAGTTAAAAAATATATATATGTATATGTGCGTGTGTATATATGTATGTATGTATGTATGTATGTATATATATATATATATATAAATCCTTCATAAGGTAAAGAACATTCTGTGAAAATGTAACCTTGATATCTTTAGTATTGACTGAGTAAGACCATGTTAAAGATTGAAATCACTCACACACACACATAAATTTTACTCAACTGCCATGCATAATGGTTTAAAACAGCTACATTATGTTATGCGTTCACCAATACAGAACTTTAGTTTACTCACGTAACCCCACTTCTCTGATAACATGAGTGAGGTATCTCACCACACTTCCCTCCTTGCAGCAGCATGGAGAAGAGATATGCTGAGAATGAAGTAGGGACCGCTAGCAGCGATATATATGAGGGAGGCGGGACTCCCGCATCACTGTCGTGATTGGTCTGTCAACTGACAGACGTGGTGTAATTGGTGCTTCCAGGATTGGTCACACCCGAGGCGATTCCCATAGAATCAGAATCAGAATGAGCTTTATTGCCAGGTATGTTTACACATACGAGGAATTTGTTTTCGTGACAGAAGCTTCGCATAATGGTTTAAAACAGCTACATTATGTTATGCGTTCACCAATACAGAACTTTAGTTTACTCACGTAACCCCACTTCTCTGATAACATGAGTGAGGTATCTCACCACACTTCCCTCCTTGCAGCAGCATGGAGAAGAGATATGCTGAGAATGAAGTAGGGACCGCTAGCAGCGATATATATGAGGGAGGCGGGACTCCCGCATCACTGTCGTGATTGGTCTGTCAACCGACAGACGTGGTGTAATTGGTGCTTCCAGGATTGGTCACGCCCGAGGCGATTCCCATAGTGAGATACCTCACTCATGTTATCAGAGAACCGGGGTTACGTGAGTAACCTAAAGTTCTTTCAAACATCCGTTCGGTATCTCACTATGGGACAGAGACAACTCGCGTACAACTCAGTGATGTGTGATAATAATAACGCAAGTCCTCCACTATTCCCAGAATAGAACTGAGACAACGTACAACCTCTGTACGAGTGTTTTTTGTTTACACACTTAGGACGGAATGCGCCAACGAAGGCTCCGTAACATCCAACATATAAAATCTGACAAAAGTGTGTGGTGAAGCCCAGCTCGCCGCCGCACAAATGTCTTGAATTGAAACGCCCTTAAACCAGGCCCACGAGGTGGCTAACCCTCGGGTACTATGAGCCCTCAGCCCCTCTGGAGGACTAAGACCCATGCTATTATAACTCAATATAATAGCTTCCACCACCCAGTGGGACAGGCGCTGACGGGAAATAGGTTTACCCTTATGAGAATCAGCCCATGAAACAAATAACTGATTACTCATTCTTAATCCCTTCGTCCTGTCCACATAATGACGCAACGCACGGACAGGGCCCAAACAATGAAGCCGCTCTTCTTCCGATGAGGAAAAAGGCGGCAGATGAAAAGCCAGTAAATCCACCTGTCTACAGGCAAAAGCTGACTAGCTCACTTTAGGCACAGATGCTGGATTCGTCTTGAGAGTTACTCACGAGAAATCCTTAGCAAACAGCATACAGGAGTTATGAACCGACAAAGCATGAAGTTCACTAACTCGTTTTGCGATCAAAAGAGCCAATAACAAAGCAACCTTTAGCGAAAAAAGCCTTAAATCAATATTGTCTATTGGCTCAAAAGGAGGCTGAGAGAGTGCGTTAAGGACCACCGACAGCTCCCACGGCGGAATCAGCGGCTTTGAAACCCGGTTCAGATGCCGCGCACCCCTCATAAACCTGCACACAAGCGGGTGCTGACCAATTGTATTTCTGTCAATCCCTACATGGCATGCAGAAATTGCGGCAAGATAAACTTTAACAGTAGAGAAGGCTCTGCCCTTATCTAAAAGTTCTTGCAGAAAACATAACACCTCTGCCACCGAACAGTGAAAAGGAACAATTTGCCTTTGCTCGCACCAAAGCTCAAACACATTCCATTTGCCATCATATGCAGAGCGAGTCGAAGCCGCTCTCGCATTTTTAATCATTTCAATCACCCTCGGAGGCAAACCCGTAACACTTAAATTCAACCTCTCACGGGTCAGGCCCAAAGAGCCATTTTGTCTGGTGCCGGGTGAAAAATCTCTCCGCGCGCTTGTGAGAGGAGGTCTCTGCACAACGGGAGAGGCCAAGGCCGATCGTGCAGGAGCTGGATTATCTCTGTCAGACACAACTTCCCTGGCCAGTTCGGAGCAATCAGTATTCCTGAGTGACCGCACTCAGTACTCAGTGGAGGAAACGCGTAAAGCAGTACGCTTGGCCACGGGTGAGCCAAAGCATCCAGACCCATAGGTGCACAGTCTCTCGCCAGAGAAAAGAATAGAGGGCAATGAGTATTTTCGTGCGAGGCGAAGAGATCTACGGCAACTCGGCCGAACCTCTCCCACAACTGGTTCACTACCTGAGGTTAGAGAGTCCATTCCCCGTACAGAGGATTCCCCCTGGACAGGAGATCTTCCCCCACATTCATTATTTCCGGGACATGAGTTGCCCGTAATGAATGAAAATGCTTCATGCCCCACACCATGAGTTTTCGTGCTAGACTGTGAAGCTGAGGAGAACATGTCCCCCCCCAGTAAATCCACCTGTCTACAGGCAAAAGCTGACTAGCTCACTTTAGGCACAGATGCTGGATTCGTCTTGAGAGTTACTCACGAGAAATCCTTAGCAAACAGCATACAGGAGTTATGAACCGACAAAGCATGAAGTTCACTAACTCGTTTTGCGATCAAAAGAGCCAATAACAAAGCAACCTTTAGCGAAAAAAGCCTTAAATCAATATTGTCTATTGGCTCAAAAGGAGGCTGAGAGAGTGCGTTAAGGACCACCGACAGCTCCCACGGCGGAATCAGCGGCTTTGAAACCCGGTTCAGATGCCGCGCACCCCTCATAAACCTGCACACAAGCGGGTGCTGACCAATTGTATTTCTGTCAATCCCTACATGGCATGCAGAAATTGCGGCAAGATAAACTTTAACAGTAGAGAAGGCTCTGCCCTTATCTAAAAGTTCTTGCAGAAAACATAACACCTCTGCCACCGAACAGTGAAAAGGAACAATTTGCCTTTGCTCGCACCAAAGCTCAAACACATTCCATTTGCCATCATATGCAGAGCGAGTCGAAGCCGCTCTCGCATTTTTAATCATTTCAATCACCCTCGGAGGCAAACCCGTAACACTTAAATTCAACCTCTCACGGGTCAGGCCCAAAGAGCCATTTTGTCTGGTGCCGGGTGAAAAATCTCTCCGCGCGCTTGTGAGAGGAGGTCTCTGCACAACGGGAGAGGCCAAGGCCGATCGTGCAGGAGCTGGATTATCTCTGTCAGACACAACTTCCCTGGCCAGTTCGGAGCAATCAGTATTCCTGAGTGACCGCACTCAGTACTCAGTGGAGGAAACGCGTAAAGCAGTACGCTTGGCCACGGGTGAGCTAAAGGCATCCACACCCATAGGTGCACCGTCTCTCGCCAGAGAAAAGAATAGAGGGCAATGAGTATTTTCAACCGACAGACGTGGTGTAATTGGTGCTTCCAGGATTGGTCATGCCCGAGGCGATTCCCATAGTGAGATACCGACTGAATGTTTGAAAGACAACCAATATCTAAGGAACAGGATGAATGTTGGTCAATAACTCAAAAAAAAAAAAGGCCTACATAACTAGGGGTGCTCCGATTGATTGGCTACCGATTACTATTGGCCGATAATCACGTAGGGATGATTGATCAGTGGTCTCTAAAAAGGCAGATCTCAAAAAAAACGATCTCAAGCTGATGATGCTGCTGTGAGAGGTTTGGCACGACATGCAGCAGCACGTGTCAGTCTCTGTCCAGCGCGGGTGAAATAATTATAATGCTGAAGGTGAGGTACTCACCTTCATATTTCTAAATTAAATAACTTCTAAAGTAATTTGAAAACCTTGTGAATCACCGCATGCGTGCGCGCTCTCTTTCTCTCTCAAAATACGCAAATGGCTTCAAATCAACACACATTACGTCTGTCTATAAGCGAGCTACACGCTGAACAGTTGACACAGGAATTGTCACTTGCACAATCGAGGCAGTGTCACATCGTCACTAAAGTTTATAAATTGCATTACTTTTTAATTCTTACCAGTGTTTAACCATTCAGCGCTTGCGCGCTCTCCTGGAGACCGTGCGCTCATGAACACTCGCAGCGCACACACATAATGCCAGGTTCACATTACTCTGTTTGCAGTCGAATGGGACGAGACCTGGTTGAGCTGCACTAGAGAAGGCAACGAGTGTTATCACTATATGTCGGAGACACGCTAGCTTTCCCAAGGCAGACGAACTTAGAGTGGTTACAATCATCCGGGTTTAAATCGCGCAAAAATTTATTTGATTTTGACGCAATATTTACACTGAAGCTCGCAGGCGGCTATAGTAAGGGCTAAGGGGCATGACATTTCCCGACCAGGTGCCGAGTAGTATCAATCACAACACACACTGGCCCAGCTAACCAAT